GGAGGTCCAGTGAAGGCTCTTATGTTATGATTGGAGCATTGAATTTTTCTTCATTCAGTCTTTCTGATGATCCAGCTATCATAGTAAATAACATCTACTATGGCCTTGACAATATTTTACTCTGTTATCAGTGCAATGATTCTTCACCTTAATCTTTTATCTAGAGGAGTAGAAATGTACTCTATACTATATCATTATATTATAAAGATCAGCCTTTCTTTCCATCATGTGCTCTCACAATGTCTGTTTTGCAACTCTAATCATCCTTATCCAGCTGCTACAATTGATGTCAAATCTCTGCAGGTAGTACAGAGCAGCAAATGGCTCAGTGAAGATCTTGACACAATGGCTTTTAAGTTATCAAAAGACAGAAAAAGAATGCTCTTGGCTTTGAATTTTGTTATTATTTCAGCAATTTCAAAATCAGGCGGGGAGAAATTCCATAATTTTACTTACACTGAAATCATTTGACATTTGGGAAGTATGGATTACTTAGCATGGACTCAGCTCCAGTTCCTAAAGTCCTTCTCAGGGATAATTATAGAATGAAAGTGCTGAAGAATCCCGAGGCTGTTCTTCTTTTGGCTGTTACTTTTGTTACCTGTCCTAGATGTTATTCCTGAATGTCTCCCTTTGTGATACAGTATTTCATTTCTTTCAGTGTAGGATTGAGCTGCCCGACTCACTGACACATGCATGTAACTGTGGTTTAGTGAGTTTATTAATGTTCCCCAACAATTCCCTTCATCAAAAACTCAGAACTGTCCCAATTAAGTCCAGTCAGGAGCAGGCCAAGATTAGTCCACAGAACAATGGCTTACTAGTCCACAAAGCAATTGTAAATTGCTCAAATAAAATAAGTCCATCAGGCAAAACTTAAATCCACACACAAGAGAGCTCAAATAACAAGAAAAGTTCAGAGTCGTCAAGGTACAGTTCCAAACACGATATCCATCCAGAGTGAAGCAGGAGTCACGACAATCAAACAACTAGAAAACCAACACATTGTTCCCAGCAACGCCTCCATCTGTCTGCTGTGATAAATAGCCAAATTTCCAGTGCCGGCAGGGTTTTCTCCTCTTAAGTAGTCTGGCTGGCCTCCGCTGCTCCTGCCTTTTCTCTGCCCTTCATGTTCTCGGATCAGGTGCAGGAGGCAGTTCCTCCTCCTCTTCGCTGGCCGTCTGCCACTGCAAACTTTCCCCAGATGAAGCCTCCTCCACCAGTTCCTGATGTGCCAGGAATGGACTCAACCTCCCCTGAGCTGACATCTGAGGAGGAATCAGGGAGAGATCACAAGGATAACATTCTTCCAACAGGCTGAATTGTGGAGAACTTGGTGCTCTCTGTGCTTGGTTATTTGCTTGCAGATATTTCATTGCCCAAACTAGGTAACATCATCAGTTGTCTAATGAAACATGTGCAAATAATCAAGCTGAGAGAGCACCAAGTTCTCTAAACAAGTATTATTGTCTAAAGGCTGATAAACTCTGCCGAGATGCTTTCTCCAAGCATATATCAATAACTAATTTTATTGTGCTTCACCATACAAACAATTTTTGCCATATCTTAATTTTTTTAAAACATATGACTTTTACATCTAATTCCATAAAGGAATCTTCACTGTCGTCATATATAGAGAGAGAGAGCTTCTTTTTTTGCATCTTTACTTAATCATCTGCCTATTTGGAAAAGCCTGGAAAATAAACAAGCAAAGTACAGGAGAGGAAAGGAAAGGATACATTCTCTCCATCAGTTCATTTTTTTTCTGTCTTCCTTGAATATAAAGATTAATCTTCACTTTATTCTTGTAATATTATAAGACTGATAAAAGCCTGTAGAAGACAGACTCAAAAACAAAACATCAGACTCCCAATTCAGACAAAAGCAGTTATTTGTATGTATTTTTAGAATGCCTTCAAGGTGACCTACAACAGTAAAAATTAAAACGCTTATGTATTTTATCATTTACATAAAATATGGGAGCATATTAACAATATAGTGAAAAGAGATTTCACAGTGTTGAATTGTAGTTTTGAAAATAGTTTTGAATTATAAGCCGTCCAGAGTCATTGACTGGGGTGGTGGCTATAGCAATTGCATAAATGTGTAAATACATTCCAGAAAATGAAAGCAACATTCATTGTTGAAATCTCAGTGGAACGATACTATTTTGAGTAATCCCATTTTTTAGAAACAAAAAGGAAATAACTGAATGCCATAGACCAGGGTGAGGGCCCTTTGCTCTTAGTTTCTCTTGGGGTAATAAATAAATAAATATTGAGTTCTTGCTTTCCTAGTTAAGTTTGCTGTCACCAAAGAGCTCTGATTGTGTGGAAAGCTCAGCTCCCCTCTCATCCTTCCCCAAGATAGCCCCGATATAGGGAATGAGATTAGTCTTAAGGCATGGGTGTGAGAACCCTAATCTCCCTTTGAGAATCCTTCCCCCAATTTTAATTAATTAATTAATTAATTAATAATAATAATAATAATAATAATAATAATAATGTTGGAAGGGACCTTGGAGGTCATCTAGTCCAACCCCCTACTCAGGCAGGAAACCCTAGACCATTTCAGACAAATGGCTGTCCAGTCTCTTCTTAAAAACTTCCAGTGTTGGAGCATTCACAACTTCTGGAGGCAGGTTGTTCCACTGGTTAATATAAAGCAGCCCTTTCCTTCACGTAGGGAAAAAAAATAAATAACTGTCATGTACTAATGAACGTTGTAGTGCCTGCTGATTGCAATGTTTTTTGTTTGTTGTGTGACAATAGAAGTGGCTTATTAAGAAATATTGCATTGTCCCCATCTCAAGGGATTTGCATGTGAAGTAATTAGAAGACTTCCTGAAAGGTTCCCATTGATCCGTCAACCAATGGGGATGTATTTGAACTGTAAACAGAAGCTGAGGTTACCATGGCATACCCTTCTGCCAACCAGCAATTGATATTCTTGGCAAATAGTGTGTCTGGGGAAACACACTGTTTCTCTGACTCCTTGGAGCAAAGTAACTTTTCCTCAATATGGCTTTTCCAAGTCCTTTTTCCAAGGCAAAGGATTTGGATCCTCAAATTCACTCAAGGAGGTATGTTCCACAATTGGCTTCCATACATTGTTAGTGACTATGGGCGATGAGACTATTGATAGAATTTTGCTCAAAACGACCTCCCTACAGGATGTTCTCACAGGATGTAAGGCAGAGTTATAAACCTCTTGAGATGTATTTAATTTTTTTCAGATGTACTTGACTTACATCTTGAAGCCTAGAATTTGTCAGACTGTGTAATCTCAGATGTGCAACACAACTTGATGCTTCCAGTAGAAAAGCTGTCAAAAATAAACACAAAAAGAACATTGCAGGCCAGTAGGAAAGTCCTAAAAATGAATTTGTCATATTTTTGTGGTGCTATAATAGCTGCTGGGTTTTTTTTTATTTTTAGTATCTTTATATAACATGCTTGGTTTATTATCTCTGATCAGTTTGAATCTAATTATTGCGTAGCTTTATTTGGGCTTGTATTCTGAAAGGCAATCTAAAAGGATTCTTAAATACATGGTTGTTCAAATAACTCTGAACTTTAGAAATGGAATTTATAGTATATTTTATAGTCCCTGCTTCAGCTATCCTTAGAAATTCACTGGGCAGGATATGGAGATTCTCTGACTCAATAGCTCAGTGTCATAGTGTAGTTGAGCACACCAAGACTCTTATGAGATGGACATTATGAAAGACAATTACCTGCAAGAAAAATAGGAAGATAATACATGCCCATGAAATATCAGAAACAGGATCCCACTCCTATGAAGCTTCACAAAAACCACATATTTCCATGAAGGATTTGAGCCCATGTGCATACTTTAAGGCAGTATATTTACAAGACAATATAATGTTGAATTCAAGCTCTTTTAAAATGTGTTCTGCATTGTAATTTAGGCATTCCACAAACTAGTGCCTGTTAGATATATAAGGCCCACTCACACTTGACATCGTAGCTAAATCTATAATGGTTGGATATTTGTTTGTTTATTTATTTATTTCCCACCTTTATTGTTTTTACAAATAACTCAAAAATGGTAAACACACACTTTCTTTCTCCTTTTCAGCTGAGAGACAGTAACTAGCCCAAAGTCACCCAACTGGGTTTTATGGCTAGGGTGGGACTTGAACTCATAACCTCTAGCTTTCCCAGCCTAGTGCCTTAACCATTATACCAAACTGGCTGATGACAATTGTAGTCTTTCTCTGTTGGAGAGAGTTACTGTAACAGCTTTGCTATAGAAGTAACTTTATTTCAATTTGGGATTATTTGGAAGGGATATAACTGGATCATTCTTAAAGCTGACAGATAAATACAGGTACCCCTCAACTTACGACCACAATTGAACCCAAAAATTCTGTTGCTAAGGGAGACATTTGTTAAGTGATTTTTTTGCCCCATTTTACACCCTTTTTTGCCACAGCTGTCAGGTGAATCACTGCACTTGTTAAATTAGTAACACGGTTGTTAAGTGAATCTGGCCTCCCCGCTGATGTTGCTTGTTGATCACATGATCTCAAGACACTGCAGCTGTCATAAATATGAGTCAGTTGCCAAGCATCTGAATTTGGATCACATAACCACAGGGAAGCTGTAATGGAAAACCGGTCATAAGTCACATTTTTCAGTGACATTGTAACTTTGAACTGTCACTAAACGAACTATTGTAAGTTGAGGACTATCTGTAGATATAATAGATAAAACAATATAGAAGACAATCGAAATTTTTATTTAGTAAAGTAGCATTAAATAAAACATTGAAGTAATAAATTTTGACATTTATTTATTTATCAGTTCTTTAATAACATTGATACAGGTAGTCCTCGACTTATGACCACAACTGAGCCCAAAATGTCTGTTAAGTGAGACATTTATTAAATGAGTTTTGCCCCATTTTATGACTTTCCTTGCCACAACTGTTGAGTGAATCATTGCAATTGATAAGTTAGTAACATGGTTGTTAAGTGAATCTGGCTCCCCTATTGACTTTGCCTGTCAGGTTATAAAAAGGGATCACATGACCCCTAGACACTGAAACCATCATAAAAATGAGTCAGTTGCCAAGCATCTGAATTTTGATCGTGCAACTGTGGGGATCAGTCGTATTCTGAAAAACAGTCTTAAGTCACTTTTTCAGTGCTGCTCTAACTTTGAACGTTCACTAAACAAACTGTTGTAAGCCGAGGACTACCTGTAATTACAGAGCATCCCAAAGCGATTTACAAATTCTAAAAACCTTTTAAAATAAACCAGGTAAAAACAATGTATTAAAAGACAGTGTCAGCCATGTTCTGGAACATTTGGAAAACTGATTTATTCCCTCTGGTATTGGAGTGAATTCTGCTGTAGAGCTGTATAATGTCTTTTTGAAAAGCTTGGCACCATCGTTTAAATGTTGCTATTGTGGTTTTTATTGCAATTGCTATGTTGTATATGATGCTTTTTTAAGTGTTAGCTTTTCAGAAACAAGAGTGAGAGTGGAGAAAATCAGCATAGAATGGTGGTGTTACAAAAGTCTTGCAACTCTGTAATGGTATATGGCAGGGGTAGGCAACCTTGGCTCTTTTATGACTCGTGGACTTCAGCTCCCAGAATTCCTGAGCCAGCATGGCTCAGCTTGGAAACCTCTCCCTTTCCCCTCAGCATGGCTGGCTCAGGAATTCTGGGAGTTGAAGTCCACGAGTCAGAAAAGAGCCAAGGTTGCCTCTCCCTGGTATATGGGAAAGACCTTGGGAGATTGGGTGAGGAGACAATGCTAAGGGAGCAATCAGATAAGTTACAGCACAGCCCACAACTGCATAATGAGATGAGCAAGAAAATCAGAAGAGACCTTGCCTAGCTTCTCAGACGGTAAAGGAGATGGTGGGGGAAATTATACTTTGAGACTTGCAAGATTCTGTCAGTGTAGATTTACAATAATGTAGAATTAGCTCATCTAGCGATGATTCCTATCTGTTTTATCCCGCAAGACTGATAAAACCACACCAACATGGGCATGGGGCTTACTATCCTGCCGGAAGGCTATTCCAGGTGTCTTCATGTAGAAAGTTGCCCTTTGCCATTACCAAGAGGCAGCCTATGGCATGGGAGAACAGGAACTCCTCTGAAAAGTAAAAGTGCCTAGGAAAGAGATATAATTCAAGATGTTATAACACATATATTGATCCTGAATTAGTTAGGGCTTTACTTATGTCAACACTTTTAATCTGGCAGAGTCTAACCAATAGAAACCTGTTAACACTAGTATAACATATGGCGTTTTTTAGCTGTCCCCCCCCCACCCAAGGAGTAGCATAAACAACATAATTCAGCACTTAGTTGTAGCTTCCAGGCCAGACTCAAGACCATCATTGACTCATAATGTGAAATAGCATTAAATAAATCTGCAAATGTTTGGTATGAATCAGTGGTTCGCACCAGTTTGGCAGAACTGGTAGCTAATTTTTTGTTGCCAGGCCCAGAATGGACTTCCGGAAGCGGCATCCACACAGAGAATCGGTTGTTCCCATATTTGAATCCCACCACTGGTATGACTATAAAGTTAGCATTATAGAGATCTTTTGTAAAAGACACTGAGAAATTCATTCAGAGGTTAGCATGGATTGCTTTGTCCTACACCACCCTCTTTTGGCCAAGATCTGTCTCGCAGTTTGGGCTGTGCAATTAAAAGGAAGTTTATCTGAGTCTTTGTAAAAGAGGCTTTTGGGGACCCTCGTATGATTTTTCCCTTCATAAATGATTTTCAAAGTCTACATGAAACCGTCTCTCAATATCAACATGTTGGGAAAGATTTGGTGAGGATATGCTCTGGCAAATGCAGCTGCTTTTTTTCTATCCTAATCTCCATGTTTCAGACACTCACTTTCTCCAAATTGGTTCCCAGAAAACAACTGGACAGTGTGTTTTGGGAAAATTAAAATAAAAACTCTGTTTTTGTCCCTGTAATTCAGTCATGTTAAACTGCCGGCCCACAGGCCAGATGCGCCACGCCAAAACCGCGCCCACCTCATTGCCGGCAATGGGGAAAAAGTCACGATAGTTTGACATACCTTAATTCAGGGTAGAGTTGGGACGACTAGACGAAGCTTAGAGTTTATTGGCCAGATGTCCTTCCCGACGTCATGCAGCACATATTTTCTCTTTGTACCCTAGGAAAGAAACATCTAGGATTGAACTCTCAACCTCCCAAGAGGGAGGTGGGAGTCTTCACCATTAGGCCACCACGGCACTCAAACAGTGTTTCCCAATCTTGGCAACTTGAAGTCCAGGAGGAGGAGGAGGAAGAGGAGGAGGAGGAAATTAGGAGAAGATTAGCAGCAACTGAAAAAATTAGCCAAGCCCTCCAGCAGCTATCTTTATTGAATACACACCTTCTGTCCATGATGAATATTCATAGCAAGGAGTCTGGTCTCCAATGGAGACAGTAAACACACAGGGCTAATCTAGGCTCCCTGTGTCTTTTGTTTCAGCTCTGCAGGAAAGCTCAGAATTTTTTTTAAAAAAAATCCTTTTAGTAAAGGGTGAAATCCCTTTACCTGGCATTGTCTGTTATGTGTTCAGAAAGCTTTATGATGCGGTGTGGCTCTTAGAAACAACAAAGAAATACTACTTTTATTTCCGGAACACATACATATATACAGATTGCCAGTCACTGTTTCACAGCACCTGAGTCTTCTTTTTTTTAACACATTGAAACTTGTTTCAAGTCCTTGTGCAATGTGCACTGTCCAAAAATAGATTGCTGCGTCCTCTGACAAGTGTGATCCGAAACCGCTCAGGAAACTTCGGAATTAATCATGCATTTCTCTTGCTTATTTAACATTTATGTCAAAACATTGGGCAAGAAGTTGTTGAATTGGTGAACATACTGCATTCTGGCTAACACTTCCCCACATTTTTTTTCTGGGTTGATCCAATTTTAAGTAGTATAAACTTAATTTATACGATGGGAAGCGAAATAAACGGACTCAGAAGCACCACATCAGCAGGGACTCCGTTGCCGGCAACCAGCTCTGCTGGAGATTTAGCTTCATATTCTTCACTTTCATTGAGCAGCAGGTCTGGAAGAAGCCCAATTGTTATCTCCCAGAATCTGGTGAAGGCCTCAAGTAAACTCCATGGAGAAGAACAAGAAGCTCTCAAGAGGGACCAGGTCCAACAAGACAAGATCTGGAGAGAGGTTGTGGAGGCTGAAAGGAAGGCCACCAAATATTGGTGAGTAACTTGGTAGTGTCTCTCTCTTAAAAGCTTTGATGTGACTGTTCGTGTTTGATTATGCTTGGACTGACCTATGCAATGCGAGACTTGCCTGCGATTTTTATAGAATAAAAGCAATATAATCTTAGAAGAAAAGTTAAAAAAAGTAAAAGAGAAGAAAGAAAGAGAAGAGATAGAAAATAAGGGGGGGGGCGAAAAAAAGGCAGTAGTTATACAGGTACTCCTTGACTTACAACCACAATTGAGCCCAAAATTTCCATCGCTAAGCAAGGCAGTTTTTAAGTGAGTTATTTCCCATTCTATGACCTTTTCACCTGAGTTGTTAAGTGAATCTCTACAGTTGTTAAGTGAATCATGCAGTCATTAAGCTAAACTGGCTTCCACCACTGACTTTGCTTATCAGAAGCCAGCTGAGATGGTTACAGCTGGGGATCATATGATCCCGTCATAAATACATGCCTTTTGCTAAGGGCCCGAATTCTGATCACGTAACTGTGGGATGTTGCAATGGTTATAAATGTAAAAAACGGTTATGCCATTTTTTTCAGTGCCATTGTAACTTTGAAGGTCACTAAACAAATGGTTGTATGTCAAGGACTACCTGTAAATGCATCTATATCTTATCCTCTCTACTTAAAATTAGATCATAACTCCCCAGCTCCATTCTATCTTGAGGACTATGATTATCAATAATTTCCTACTGGTTGATGACATTTTGGAACAGAAACAAAGCAGGGGAAATTGAACTATTCCAGCCTAGATACACTTGGATATCTGTGCACGTACACTCACACACATATACATGCATATATACATATTTATATTCATTTTCAAACAAATATAAAATAAAAATGAATAATTCACCACATGCAAAAAACAAAAAGAAAACCCACATCAAATGAAAGCATAAAAAGGACAAAAAAATTATGTAATTACAAATATATGGCAAGTTCACCAGAATATACACACATAAATATACACACATAAATATACATATGTACTTATATATTCATTGAATGTGGGTGTTATGGTTATAAGGATTAAAATTTACCAGAATAAATGAATAGCAACATAAACTCTAATACAGTATGAGTGATTCACCTCTCACCCACTAGTTAAGAATTGAAGATTATCTGTCTAGTTATCTGCCTGCCTGCCTGTCTGTCTGTCTGTCTGTCTGTCTGTCTATCTATCTATCTATCTATCTATCTATCTATCTATCTATCTATCTATCTATCTATCTGGACTGGAATCAGTTTTAACACTGCATTTCTTTTAGCCCTTCAGATATCAGTTAAATTTTCATTTGTCTAGTTAGTACAATTATACTCACATATTAAATCATAAAAGATATTATCTTTTACATTGAAGGTATCAAAACTGGAGTTTCCTAAAGGACTATGATCCCCAGGTAAGTTAAAATCCAAACATGCATGTTAAAAATATACTGACATGTTTGAAACAGATTTTTTTCCCATATTTTTATATAATATATTCATCCTGAATTAACATAGTCATAGTTCAGAATGGTCAAGGATGAACAGTGATGATGCTTTACACTCATATATCATGTTAGACAGTGGCTTATTTTTACATGGAGAACAAGCTGCAATAGCTTGATTCACAAAAACAGCTTATGCTCTTATCCAGCGAAGGCTCAGCACAAAATATGGAGGGTTCTCTTGCCCTTTTTTGAATTGGGAAAGATGCTAAGAGAATCTCCCAAAACGCTATTCTAAAGGTAGGCAAAAATGAGGGATGCCAATTCAACAATGATAGACTTTATTGTCCTTATGCAGCCCCTTCTCATTTTTCATTTAAGCCTGCCTAGGATTTGGGCAGGGGCATTCTCAGAGAATTTTTTTTTAAAAAAGATACCAAGATGGTAGCCATTAACATGACAATGGAGCTCCACTCCTTTTTAAGGTTGCCATGACCTACTTTTTTAATGGGCTTTGATTGCATGGCTGTGGTCCCCATCTTCACTTTTTTCACCACCTCTGGGATTAGAAAAAATACAGAGTGGAAAACCCTTGTTCTTTCCTGAATAGGAAAAAACAAGATAATGTATTACCTCAGGAGATGGGAGCAAAAAGCCCTCCCCCCCCCCCAAGTTAATATCTCCATCAGGAAAAGTGGAAACAAAACGTGAGGACTTGCAAAACTGAAGAAAGTTGGAAAGGTAAGGAAAATATTTTCCTGGAGACTGAGGAAATGAAATCACTAACTTTGTCTTCAAATAGAGAGAGAGAAAAAAAAAAGTATTACAATAACGTTCCTGACATTTGAACAATGCTGCAAACACAGCATTTTTCTAAAGAAAATCAGGCAATTTATAGCTTGGAAAGAAATTGGTAGGGGTGGAGAGAACAGCATGATCTCAGCAGAATGTTGGTGATAACTGGAAGGTATTTTGGAATGTTCTTATCGCACAGTAAATTTACACTGAGATAGGCTCTTAAAATCTTAAAAGTTTTACAAAGTTAGAATGGTTCAGCTTTGAAATCAAGAATATGTCCTCTAGTCACTGCTAATGATTTCTTGTCATCCTATTTGGTTTCTACACATTAAGCCTAGTTTTATAGGAATATTTTAAATCTCAGATCAATATCATACTTGGTTTTTTGTTGGGTTAAAAGATCATCTGTGCTTCTATTCATGGACAGGACAAGGGAAACTCCCACTTCTGTACTGACCAGAAAGCAAGGCTTCCTTTTCTTTCCTCTGATTTCTGAAATTGTCACAAGATCTGGAAGCTGCCCACTATTGTTAAGGCTTAAAGAGAGGCAGGGTTTCTGTCTTTTTCCTGTCTCTCATCTCTAAAAACTAGCATCTACACAGCCTAAGAAGTGAATTCAATGTGCCCCAGCCAGTCATTCTGATTCTGACCAAATGACTTCTGCTTTAAGACAGGAGTAGATAATAAATAACCATGCATTAATAATATTTCAAAAGTATTTTAGACTATGAAAAATTGAATACTCTGATGCTATACAGACAACTAAATAAAAAGTATTGCATTAGAGTTGAGTGAACTGTGTTTTAAGATATTGCTAAAAGTCCCTTAAAAAGCAGGTACTTCATTGTATTATTTTTATTGCAGTGTTTAAGTTTTTTAATTAACTGGATTACCAGTTTGCTTACAGCCACGGAATTTTTCATACAAGATAAAACTGACACAAAAGCCATTAAAACAAGGTAATTTTCAGAATGATTGTAATTAATGCATGAAAGCCAGAACTATCAGTATGTTTTTGTTATGATAGCCAAATCCTGGAGTTATCAGAGCTTTGGTCTGCTCCAGTAAAATACTTCTAATGTTATTGTGTTCATTCTTGAAATCTTTCCTAATTCCCAATGGAATTGATTATGCATAATATGGCAATAGAAGCACTTCTTATTGAACTTTTATTCACATAAATAATTGATTTATATTTTTTTAGGGCAAGAAAAAAGTATCTGTCCAACTCCCTGAATATATACCAATATTTTCAGACAAAATTCCCAATACTACCAACCGTGTAATTGGGAGCAGAATGAACACTGATCTTGGTAAAACCCTGATAAAAATGGATTATTTCCTCAATTATGGAAGAAGAAAAACAAAAACTGAGCAAGAACTCCAGCCTTCCTAGAATCAAATAGAAATCTTGCTGTTAAAAAAGTGCTTATCTTTTTTGAAGATTATACTTTTTGAAATAGGATTAATGTCAAAAACTTTGTGCACCTACCCTTCCAGACTTAATTCTTCTGCAGACTAGTCAGCAATGATATTTAGCAAATTAAAGTTGATAGCAAAGTTTGCTAATATTATCCCTGAGAACGGTCACATGTAAACACCAGTCTTTACAATTTCCAACATTTAGAAAACAGTGGTGCTGCATCACATTCTACTTTTTTCACTAGTAGGAAAACTGTGTTTCTTCCACCAAATTAAGCCTGAAATTTCATTGCAGATGAGAGCGCTGGCCTGTTATACATTGCAAGACTCAGCTGGGGCATCAAAATATATGTAAGTGCCATAGTGGCACAGTGCTTAGAATGTAGTTTTGCAGGCTAATTTTGCATTCGCAATGCCAGGAGTTTGATCCTGACTATCTCAAGGTTGACTCAGCCTTCCATCCTTCTGAGGTCAGTAAAATAAGGACCCAGATTGTTGGGGAGAACATGCTGATTCTGTAAACCGCTGTAAACAAGGTGTAAACCACTGTGAAGCAGTATATAAGTATGGACAATATTTAATATTTATTTGCTATGTATATGTAGAGATGTGGGTTTATACATATGTTGTTCATAGTATGCTTAGATTTGTGTCATGTATGTGTTTCACTTTGAGAGCAGGCAACTAAATTTCATTTTTGATGTGTGCCATTGTGCCCACAGTATAAAAATGACAATAAAGGTTATCTTATCTTAATCTTATCTTATTTGGGTTTTGTGTGTAGTGCCAGCTACAACCAAGGGTTAGGGGCAGGGTAGGAGAAGGGACTGGACATCCAGGACACTCTGGAGATTGTCAGAGGCACTGCCTTGCAGATAGCCAGATGTGAGACCCTACTTGTGAAACTGAATGTTAGAATTCAGTTAGAATTGCTACAGCTATACCAGCCACCCTAGTTCAGAGCAGCTTCTTTGCCTGGGCTGCTTAATGCTGTGCCAATTGCACCTGTTCCTGGATTGGACAGGCCTGCTTGCAATCACTCATACCTTAATCAGACCCTGGTTCGATTGTTGTAACGTATTTTATATGGAGCAGCTCTTGAAGATTCTTCAGGAGCTGCAACTGGTCTAGAATGCAATGCTGTGTGAATTGATGAGCATACCTCAATACACTATACAGCACCATTTTATAAATTGCACTTGTTCCCAGGAGGCTTCCAGGATGTTGAGTATCATCTATAAAGGCTTACATGGCTCAGGACCGGATTATCTGCAACACTGCCTTTCTCCAATTATTTCTACCTGCCATGCTCTATTAAGATAGATACGCTTTAGGTCCCTTCCTTGAAACAATGCAACCTGAGGGGACCTAAAAGGCATGCCTTAGCTCAGCGGTTCTCAATCTATGGGGTCGATCGACCATTTTTCAGGGGTCGCCAAAGAAGGCGATCCGCCATTTTCTCCCCTCAGGGGGCGCCGCCGCGCATGCGCGCCACGCATGGGGGCAGCGCCGCGCATGCGCAGAACGTTTGTGTGACGGGGGTCGCCATCACACAAACGTTGAGAACCACTGCCTTAGCTGTTGCAGCACCTGACTTCTGGAATGATCTTCCCGCAATATATGGGCTGGTCATGTCCTTGAGTGCTTTTTGAAAAGCACTAAAAATGAATTCTTCTTTTAGTTGTTAGGGCTAGGATGTTAGAAGCAAATGTGATTCTCTAGATGTCCATTATTGTTGCAGTTTAATTATATTTGATTTTTTGTTGTTTTATATTATATACACTTCCCAGGGTCATATTTGTGTGAGTTGAGCAGTCTTATGCTGTACACTTCTATATAGATGCAGAACCATTGGAATAAATAAAAAATAAAACCCCATAACCAGCTTCATTAAATGCCTTTGAATGTTTGTCATCAAGGATCAATGTAGCTTTCAGAATAATTCAGAAATTTACTTTAAAGTAAGCCAATCTTTCCCCAAATATATTAAACTTTCAATGGTTTCCTGCAACAAAGAACAATTGTATTTATTAGAAAACTTGGCAATTGGCTTGAAATAAAATTCTCTTGTGCTTACTGACTTGGCCTTCTAGTCTGGTTTCTTCTTCTTTTTAGTTCATACATGCCAATCAAGATCAGAAATGTATCTGGCTTTGTATTGCCTATCTAACCAGAATGAGTATTTACATATAGGGCAATTCATTTGTTTGCTTGGCAATCTGGAAAAGCATATAGTTTACTCAGTTGAAATGCTCTGGACTAAAGTTATAGTCTTGAGCTTATAAAACCTGGATTAATGTAAGAGTATAGAAAACCAGGACTTTGGTAGCATCTTTTTTTACCAATTGTTTTTACCCATGTTGTCTAGCTGTAACATTATTATTATCCTTATCTTCTTTACTACAGATGTTGCTATGGAAACTTTCTACTGCAATAGCTCTTGGGCAACAAACCTCTTTTTGACCAGCATGGGGTACAATGCATATATTCCAAATGGCCAATTTCTCATTCTTTAATTTTGTCATTAGTTATGTTTTGTCCTGTGACCTGGGGGGGGGGCAGGAAAAGGAATATAAACCAATCGGCTTAAGCAGCAGACACAACATCCACCTACTGTTTACCAAAGAAGCCATCCGAAAACTTTTACTGCAAGACACCGGATGACAGGCGATTTCTGGGCATGCTCGATAGGCACACCGGAAACAGTAAAAAAGGCTTCCTTGCCGCAGATGTTAGTTTCGGGAATCGAAGCCGCTGTCTTAAGGAAACTGCTGAGGGCTGCAGATTTAAGCTAACCTAACGATGCCAGGAAATTGGAATAAAATTTAAATAAAATAAAATAGATCCTCCTTCTCTCCAACCAAAGAAAGTACAAGGCTTAATTTGGGGTTGGAACTCGGTCCAGAACCTGTCCTGGCACGTGCCGAGAGGGATTTTTAAAAAATGCCTCTGGGCATATGCAGAGTACAGCTGCTTCTGCCTCGAGTAAATAAGATCAAGAAGGGAGGAAATGGAGGAGGAAGAGAATAATTTCCCTAAATAAAGAGTTTTCATTGATTGAGGCGGCAAATAAACGGGCGCATCGAGGCTGGGCAGTGGTCCTCCACTCAGAACTCCGTCGTAACCATGGCAACCAAGCCTGCTCCTCCTACCGGCCATTGTTAACCCTCTCCCCGCCCTCGTCAGCTCCACTCCGGTCGCTCCCTCGCTGGAGGAAGCGGGAAGAAGCGATGGATGCGGGCCGGCTCTTGCTGGAGGCGGCGAACTGGAGCACCATCGCGGCGTGCCTGGTGCTCAAGTTGCCCCAGGGAGCCGCCTTGGTGGCCGCCAGATCCGCCCGAGGAGTCAGCCTGGAAAGTTTATTGCTGGAGCTTGGCGGGTAAGGACGGACTTCTCCGCCCAACGGCAGCAACAGCAGCAGCACCACCAACCTCCGCGCTCTTCCTCCCGCTTGCCCGGTCTTTGGGAAGGGGAAGGCTTCTTTTCTCGGTGTCCACGGAGGCGTTGAGACCCGCGGAGGGAATTGCGGGTCGGCTCTTCCCCGCGAGTCACCTCCCTGCTTGAGCCTGTGGCTGTTTTTGCTGGTCTTCTGAACCTGCCCCGCGGGCAAAGATACACCCATTTCGAGTCAGCTTCGGGTGCGGATACATAACGTACCCTCGAAGGAAGAAGTTGGCAAGCTCTGGCCGTCGTTTTTCGAAGAGGAGAGCCGGGCGAAGGGCCTGGGACACGAGGTGTCTTTGAGACTCCCCGGGCGCCTCATCTGGCCGTTTTTCCTTTCTTGCTTTGGCCGCTTTGCCTCGTTTCGTCTTCCCACAAGCGGTGCTTCTCTGCTTTCTTTCCGGGCGCCACTTCAAGCCACAGCTGCCCTGCCCTTTTATCTGGCTTGCTTGAGTTTGGCTTCGTCGTTGAACCCGAGTGCATTGTAGGCCTCTAAAGAGGAGGAGAAACTGGCAAAATAATCCATCGATTGGATTGTAAAGCCAAAGAAAAGAAATCAGCAGCAACTGCAACCAGGCTGATATCTAGTTCAGCCCTCAGTTGCCTCTCTGAAAAGGCTAAGATTGGACTCAAAATTCAGCCCCAAGCCCCTCCCTAGTTCATAAAATAAATACAATAAAAGGTAATCTCATGACTGCATTTCCCTTATGATCTCAAGAAACTTTCCTATCTCAGATACTTGAGGTTCCAGGCCAAAGCACTGTGAGTTCCCACATTGAAGCTCTTAGGAAACGAGTGTCTTTCTTTTCTTTAGAAGTGGACTTTACAACTTTTCCCAATCCGGTGTTGTTCAAGCATGTCAACCTCTTTCTCTATTTCTCCCGCCTAAGTAAGGTTGCTTTTCAGACTATTTACCTGGACAGCCACTCCTTTGGAATGGTATAGGGCAGGGGTGTCAAACTGCTGGCCTGCAGGCCAGTTGTATCATACAATGTGAAAAAAGTCACGATACATCGCAACACATCATGGTATAGGGTCTCCTGCTTGACACCCGTGGTATAGGGTCTCCTGCTTGAGCAGAGAGTTGGACTAGAAGACCTCCAAGGTCCCTTCCAACTCTGTTATTCCATTATTCTATAAGGCTGTTGCACTTCATGGATAGTTGTAGTGAAGCTTCCCCCATGGAAATGAAGAATTACATTTTATTGGGCTAATAGTGATAGTTCTGCAATTCCTAAGTGCCTTTATCAATACCTATCTATAAAGAAGCAAAGTGGGTTCTTGAGGCAGATAGTTGTGGCCAGAGAGCCTGTTCCTTTCATTAAGAAATGATTTTTATTCTGTCTTCTTTGTTCCTTACAGTTTTATAGCAATATTGCTACAAGTTTGTGAGTCAGTGACTCTGGGGGACTGGCATTTAAACCTCTCCAAAATGAAAGAAAGCCAAATCAAGCTACTGCGATGCCACAGGATAGGGGACTGATAGAAATCAGGGGACTGTGAAGGCCATTTAAATATCTTAACTTTGTTTCTATAAATACATGATAGTTGATTTGGAGGTATGTTTTAGAGTAGATCATTGTCTTGCTGAAATATAAATTCCAAAAGAAAGCCAAATCAAGCTACTGCGATGCCACAGGATAGGGGACTGATAGAAATCAGGGGACTGTTTAGGCCATTTAAATATCTTAACTTTGTTTCTATAAATACATGATAGTTGATTTGGAGGTATGTTTTAGAGTAGATCATTGTCTTGCTGAAATATAAATTCCATTTCCAGAGAAGTTTTTAATTTTTTATATGCCACTTAGTTTGGGGACAGTTGGCTCCTTATATTCTGATTTGAACAAGAAAAATCATCATTTTTCTGATCTCTTCCTTGCACACTTTACCAACTCAGCCAGTGTCCTCCAAATGGTTGATAAATAAGCTTTATTTCCCTCGTCCTGTGAATGCCAGATACCTTGAATTACATCTCCCATAATTCTCAGCCAGTTTTATTATTGACCTTGCTAGTTGAAAATTCTGTATATCCTGAAGATACTGGGTCGAAAAAGGCTAGCTACTAC